ATGTTTCATAGAAACTTGTCACGTACATAAGTAATCAATTGTAATACACATTCTAACGCTAGCCGTGTTGCTGTTAGTTGCCTTTTTTATTTATCACTAGAGCAATAGATAAAGATGGTTCGCAAAACGAGTTCCCTTGAGTTTCTTCTCGAACATGCGGTGCACACACGACATGCGAACTTTCTTCACACGTGCACACCATCTGCGACGATCACCTTTGACGAAAAGTTATTCGGCCCATTAGAAAAGCCAGTCACGATCGATACTCTTTGACCAGCACCGCTTTTGGACGCGTTTTGTGTCGGTCTTCGGTGCCCGTATGAGAATTGTTGCGAATGAAATCCTTTAACAGAAATATATTTTGCGAACGTGTAGTCGCTACGAAAGAAAGTCGTATAAATTACTTGTGATAAATTGTATTTTTATTTGTATTATCATATATTATGTCATTCATTTCCATTTATAGAGAAAAGACATTCTTGTATTTAAAAAAAACTGTGACTTTGCAATACTTTCATATTTGAAATTACATTAATTTTGATTAAAATGTTGTTTTATACTCCCATTTTATTATCTGATAAACTGTAATGTAAAATGTAAATTAGGAGTTTAGTTTATTTCGCAACTATTTCATTCGTGACTAGAAAGGAACAGGTTCGATTCGTGCATCGAGTGGGTAATGTTATACCGATGCTCAGCATCTACGTTGCACAACCTGTGAAGGATAAAGTTATATATGCTGACTAAACTGTTTTTTCACATTCTTTATACTCGCGAATTCTTCGAATCAGACTTATTGATAGCGTGCAAATAGTTAAAAGAAAAGAGATATAGAGTGTATTTAGATTTTAAAACTTTTTTTCAATCACTGCCAAAAATTGTTCGAATTTCGAAATTGCCACTGCATTCTTTGTTTTTGCCCGGCAACGTGTAATTCAATTCGACTTAAATTTAAATTTATTTTCAGCTATTATTAGAGGTGTATTCGAGAGGGGTGCTTCTCGGCACTATAACAGAAAATAACACCTTCTTCGGGGCTTCGTTTTGTATCCGCAATGCATCTGGGAAAACAGTTTTGAGGGTAAAGGGATCATGGTTTAGCGGTTGCGGAACTGGGAGATTTAAGGTGGAACGTTAATCGTAATATAATAAATTTTAAAAATATTTTTTTACTCGACTAACTTTTAATTTTCTTCTCCTTTTTTTACAGATAAAGTCCGCGGATGATGTATATAGAGTTGGGGAAATTAAAAAGAAATGGGGCGGCCTCACTAGGGAATTTCTCATGGATGCTGATAACTTCCTCTTGCGTTTTCCTATAGATTTAGACGTTAAAATTAAAGCCGTATTGCTTGGTGCCTGCATTGTCATAGTAAGTTGTAAAAAAAAAAGATTTGTTGATAAAGTACCAATAAATTTACTAATACTACAATTATGTTTACAGGATTTTCTATATTTCAAAAACTGAATTTGGAATTCGTAAAATGATTAAAAGAATTCTATTTAGAGACTGGAAATTAATGTTCTTTTTGTCATATTTTATGGCAAGAGAAACACTTTATAGTGAAGGATCGCTGATATCAAGAGTTTTCTACTCTTTTCTAAACTTTCTAAACTTCAGAGATTCACCGTATTTTTTATATCAAATTTACAAATATTATTAATAAATATTCACAATGTTGTCAAATAATCTAAACGTCCAAGTACTATTTAATTATTATTTGCTATTTTTGTATTCAATTTTGGAAAGGATCTTTTGTATGTACATACATGTGTATACATCGTTCATTTTCCTATGAAGGAAATGTTCTGAATTTTGTGAACAAATACTTGCCCTGCAACTCACGTAATATGATATTGCAAATTACTAGATTGTAAGTCTTTAATACGATATCACAATACATCTATACTTGTATGTAAGATATAATTTTATGTAATTACGAGTTACAAATACTCTTTATATTTTTGTGTGTTTTTGAAAAGAATTAATAATTTTAAAAAGTAATTACTATTTCTTGAATCTCATCGTTTCTTTCTTGATATTCAAGTTACTCGAAAGTTTACAAAATAAAGATTTAACGTTGTTGTATGATCAAAAGACTTTATTACCATTTGTATCAGATTTATATCAAGAGATATGAAAGGAATAAAGTATTAAAAGAAAGAAGAATTATTGTGTACGTTCTTTTATTCGTGTTTTAAACTCACATCTTCATACATCTGATACTGAAGTTGTCGTCGCGTCAGCTGCAGCATTTAGTATGGTATATTCATCGCAGATGTTCTTAGTTTGGTAAAAAATGAGAACGGAGAAACAATATGTGTGTAACATCCTTTCCAACGTTATAAAATGGCCGCTGAGATGCTGCAGACGTTGCATTCGTTGCGTTTTTCTTTTTTTTTTTTTTTCTTTTCTCATTCTCTTTAATATATCAAGAACCGGATTCACGCGCTAGATTTAGATTTCAAAATGGAGGCTCGAAATTTCTTTGTCATAGCCTTGAGTTCTCTTACATCCAAGATATATCTTTTATTGATAATTTTCATAATCCATAGTTATTGAGCGTAAGTTCCTCCATATTTCTAGAGTAAAAAATAATCTCACATTTAAAGAGATAAAAAAAACTGTCGAAATCAACATTCTCGGAGGAATTCTGATGAATTGTCAAAGCAACAGTACAGTTCAGATGTAGATATAATTAAATTCAGATATAATACTTTCAAAAAAATGTTCCTTGCTTTTTTTTTTTTTTCTCTCTCTTCCATACAAATTCGCCTTCTTATACTTATATCAAACGGCGGCGACTTGTTTTCGTTGAGAGCAAACTGCCCATGAACAGAGTCAAAAAGATTCGAAATCGATTTCCATCTCTTGCGATGGAACACCGTACAAAATCCAAGGTATTTCCAACGTGTTAACCGAAATGATTTTACGACCCGGTCATTTTGAATCACAAATAACGGTATACGTAGCTGTCTTTTTTCCTCGGCGTCAGACGTTATTACAAACGTTGAAGGATCTTTTTTATCACGGGATAACACGGGGTGCTGATATAAGGATACTTCATAGGTACATAGATGTACAAAGAGAGAAATAAACGTAACAAAGAAAAGAGCGATAGAGAAAAAAATGAAAGAATACTGCGTGTATTTTTTCTACAGGCTGGATAACACATGTTTTTAAAAAAAGAAAAAAAAAAAAGAAAAAGAAGAGAAAAGAAGATGAGGCAAAACAAAATTAAAATACTGTTGAAGATATAATAATGCGTATTATATATAACGTATAATACAAGCTTTTTCTTCTCTTTTTCATTTTCGTTTTGTTCGTACGGATTGATTGAAAGGAACTTGAGTCAACGTAAGAGACGATAATATAATAATAATAATAATAATAATAA